ACAATCGGTGAGAATAATTTTTTGTAGTCTTATGGTTTTGAAAATGGTTTAAACGATATACGTAGGTATATATTCGTATGGAATGGATGAAACGAAGCGAATCGCGGTTTTACTTCTGACTTTGCCAAGGGATTCGATGGATTTCCATAAACGAACTCGGTTCCGTTACGATCACGTTCTCTCCCCCATATGGAAATTTGCATCCTCCCAACTCCTCCTTCTCCTCTTCCTATTTTACCATCGATGGCGAAACGGGGCAATAACGGATGAAAGAAAAGGTGAAAAAAAAAAAAAAAGAAAGAATAAAAAATAGATAAGAAAAAGTCAAAACGTTCTACGAACTTTTTATGCGCATAACATTTAAATTCCCCCCAACACCATCCACCACCCCCACCAACCCCCTTCCACCCACCCCCTTCCACCCACGCACTTTTTTCTCTTTCTCTTTCTGGTCTCTACGTGTGAAACACACAAACATTAAACGTGTATACGTGTGTTATACGTATGTCATGTTCGACCTTATGTAAAATGAAACGAAATTGAAATGTAGAAACGGTAGGAGAAAGGATGGATGATGATAAAGAGATAAGAAGGGTACGGGAAAGGGGGGGGGAGGAGGAGGATTGACGTTTTTATTATTGAAATATCACCGAGGAAGATACGCGTATTATCACCTTGATATATATATATATATATATAGAAAAAAAATGTAAAAAAATAGAAGCGGAATAAAAAGGGAAGTCAACAGAAAGGGGGAACCTGAATCGAGTCGTTTGTCGGTCGTAGGAAAAATGGACAGAAAAAAAAAGAAAAGAAAAAGAGAAATAATAACATGCATTGCAATCTAAAAATCTGCCATTTTTCGTCTCCTTTTTTTTTTCACTTTTTTCGGTAAATCGTTATTGGTAATCGTCTTGACTCGATTTTTTTCCTTTGAACGTATCGACTTTATGCTGGCTGTCGTTTAATCGAAAAGAGAAAAAAAAAACAACATGGAAAAAAAGGAATTAGGGTAAAATAGAACGGTAGTAGGATTGTCCAGTGTCGCAAAAAAAAACAAAAAAAAAACAAGGATAGCTGTTTCTCTACGTTTAACAGAGTCTCGCGACACTTATTGACTCGGTTTTCTTTTTTCTTTTTCCTATCGTTATCCAACTCGAATGACTTTTCTCGTCAAGTTGAAGAACGATTACATTCGAATATACATATATATATACACGTATGTCGTATACTCACATTGGAAGTGTGTGTATGTAAGTAGAAAACTCTCGTATATACTCGTCATAAAAATCGTAAAAAAAAGGAAAGAGAATCGAGAACCAAAACTAGCCGAACGTTTAAAAATTTTCCTGTTTGATCCTCGAAACTTCACGTATTCCAATACAATACTATATCTACGATTCTAAACGATTTTCTATAGCGACAAGGATAACGGATAAAAACATAGAAAATATAGTAGAACTTGTTCCCAATCTATAGAATATTTCAAAATACATATAGTTTCATTTCACTATGATAAAGTGTAATAAAAGAAATTCATACGATCTTATATACGATATAAAACCTTGTGTTTCTAATTGTTCTTTAATTGTTAAATAAATATCGTTAATATTATTAATTTTCATAGAAAATGTTCGAAAGAAAGATTTATAAACAAACTGATTGCTACCGGAGAATAATTTCTTAACTTAAATCAATCCTGAAATTACACATACCAACATATATGTTTTCTGAAACATCTTGTATATACGCGAATAAGTGTTTATAGATATGAGTGTGACTTTAGTCGAATCCGAACAATATCCTGTGTTTTAAGCGTTTCGTTTCTCCGTACGTTCGATTTGTTCTCGTTTCGTATATTTATATCGAAATTCTATAGAGTGGAAAGGTAATAGTCGTTTATGATATACATGAATAACACGTATGTAGTAAACATTTAAAAGCCATCATCGTTTCGATGTCCACTTCAGAACGATATTGATAACGACTACAACAAAGTTTCTCTGAAGGGTGTTTACGTTCAAATGTGGGAGGAGGAGGAGGAGGAGGTGGAGGGGAGAAGGTAAAGGGGGGTGGCTTACGTATATCGATGAGTAAATCTCGTGTTCTAGTACTATCAGATCATTGTTTTATTTTCATCTTAACATCTCTTTCATCCTACATCCTTCGAAACTTTTTCTTTCCTTTAATTTTTTTTTTTTCTATTTCTCTATCTCTCTCTCGTGGAAAAAGTAAACAAGGATAATAATCGAATAAGGGATCATCGTAATTATCGTCCTAAGAGTTAAAAATCGATTTCTCGGGGAAAATTTCAATCTCTTCCTCTACGAATTTAAACCTTTAGTTAACAACTTTTTCTATTATCCTTTATCTATCCTTTATACTGATCCATTCGAGTTGTTACCTTATTCGAAATGCACGAACGAACGAACGAACGAACGAACGAGATGGAAGGAAAGAAAATAAAGGGAGTACAAATTCTTTCAATTCGTGATTCGTTTTACTGTTAATGTCGTGAAAAGTATGTTCGACTAAAATGTTCTAGTATCGAGCAAATATTTGTTCGCGAATGTCCTTTTAAGATATATATATATATATATATATATATGTATTATATAGGGATGTACATATACATTTACGATTTCTGCTTGAAGAACATCTATCCTCCTACTATCCTGCATACTACTCTTCTGCTAAAGTTTCGAAATAAATATTTACTTAACGTTTAGAAAAGCTTCGTAACGTTCGATGCGTGGATAGAATTCGGGAAAAATCAGAAGGAAAGTTTAACTGAAATAGAGAACGATAGAAGAAGGAAAAGAAGAAAAAAAAAAAAACATATATATATATATATATATGTATAATGATAGATAAATAGATAGAAAAAGAGGGAAAGTACATTGGAAAATGCTTTTCACCAAAATGAGATACGTTTTTTCGCGCGAATGTTCATTTCCACTGACAGTAATACTTTCCTTCTCGGTTTGTCGATTTGTTAACGACAAAGTTATCCCGCTTTGAGTGTCCTTCGAGCTTTTTAAGCTTTTCCTCTGTCTCTCTCTCTTTCTTTCTTTCTTTTTATCTCGTCCGATACCGTGAAAATGTTCATTCCCATTTTAATACCGGTATATTTGCTCTTTGAATTTCATTTCAACGAGAAAATTTTCGATTTACGATCTTGTCAACCGAATCAAATAAATTCTCGTTCTTTTTGTTTCCATTCCTGTCGCCAACCTCCTACTCCCCCCACCCCCGTCCCCGCCCAACCTTTTGTTCTTTGCTTCCTTCATTCGTACATTTTACATGCACCGACTGTGTTTAAAAATTAACGAAACAAACGAGATAATTAATTAATTTATTTCCCGTGTCTTTTTTTTTTTTATTATAACAACAATAATAACAACAATAATTGTGCATAATGAAACGGGGGAAAAAAAGGGGGATGAACGACCTTAAAAGTCATTAATTTTATTACCTTAGTTTCGTTTTCCTTTTTCTTTTTTATATTTTTATACTCTTGCGTCTTCCGCTTTTTCTATCCTTACTTATTTTCTTTTGTTTTTACTTTTTTGTCTTTTTGTTCCAATCCCATCCTCTAAGACATCATCAGCAAACAATAATAAAACGTTTTCCCTTTTCATTCCCGCGTGTAAAATTAATGTCCGAAGTAATCGTAGGAAACGTCAAAAGCAATGATGTTTGTTTTTTCCCTTTTTGAAGGTATTATTAATCGCGTTGCTCTCGCGACCGCTTGAGAGCAACCAGATGCTAAAAGAAAAGCAAAAGATTTCTCTCTCTCTCTCTCTCTGAAGTTAGAAACAAAGAAGCAGAGCCAGTAGGTTTCCTTTTTTTTCCCCCTTCTAATGAGGAAGCGTTTCTTTCCTTTTCGAACTTATCTTTCTCTTTTCCATATCTTCTCTCTCTCTCTCTCTCTCTTTTTACTTTTTATTATTTCTTTATTTCTTTCCTTTTCCTTGTATCCCTTTTATACATTTCCTTTCCTACAATTCATCCCTCTATCTCGTTTCCTCGGGTGATATCGATTTTACTCCGGGATTCTGAGAGTCAAAGTAATTATCATTCCGCTCTCTTTGTTCTTTATTTAGCAAAAGAAAAAAAAAAAAGAAGGAAGGAAGGAAAAAATTTACCCTTTGCAATCGACTCGATGTACAATAACAAACAAAAAATTATTATCTATTTCCCGACTTTTTTTCCTACTTCCCTTCCCGTTACTTTTGTTCTTCTTTTAAACCGTGTATCATCTACAAAATAAAAAAAAAAAAAAAAAAAAAAAAAAAAAAAAACTGATATACTAGATAATAATTTATGATTTCACTCTTTCAGAAATATCACCTAATACTCGAGAGAATTGGTTGAAAAGTTTTGACCGAGTTACGATGGAAACGATAATTGTTTCTATTTTAGGCTCAAAACTTTTCAACCCAGCCTCTTCTTACGTACTCTTGTATGTCGAGTGACATGCACATACGAACGACATCATCGTATTCGAATAATATATATCTTTGTTGTTTGCGTGTGCATCGTCACCCCTTTTAAAGAAAAAATAAAAATAAATCTTCTATTATCGTAACTTTCTCTTTAAATTCATTTCAATTTGTTTTCGATAATAATATGGAGAAATAAATCCTTAAACTGGCATAACAAAAATAAGTTTACTCGTTTTCCGATGTATTTTAACGTTCGATAATATTACCGTAATCGTTATAATTCATATTCAGGTATGATGTTTGAAAATAGAAATGAAAGGAAAAAAAAAACGGACGCGTTTCATCGTCCTGTGAGGGATGATACCATGAAATGTTAATTAAAGATAAACAACAGGGGAGTAAAGTAGTAGGAATCGTCGAAGCTCGCGACAAAGTCGCCTTGATTTTTACGCTCGAAAGAGTTGTGAAAAGCAAAATAATGGGCGTACTTTATGTGACTCTGATATATTTTTACGGAGTACACTTGAGCACGATTGGCTGCGATTGTTTCAGGAGTGACCATCTTGCTATCGCTGACGGTGTTCCTGAATCTCGTTGCCGAGACCCTACCCCAGGTCTCCGATGCTATACCCCTGTTAGGTATTAATCGACTTTTTACAATAATATCTCAACGAATTAATAAATAATTAATTAAAGAATAAAGAAAATAAGAAATTAAAAAAAAAGTAATAATAAATAAGAAAATAAATAAATAATCGATAGAGATTAAACGGCGTTTCTCATTCGGTACTTGTCACGGACGATGCGCGTGTTCCCGTTGTTTTTTAAACGCGAGAACAGAAGGGAAATTATTTTTCTTAGATTTAAATCAATTCAGTAATTTGCGAGGAAAATGTGCGGGAAGAAAAATAAATACAAGATCCAACTTTCGAAAGATACTTCTTTTTTTTAATAGTATGACACACAAGTAGGAAAAAAATTGATTTTTGTCCAATTAAGTTTGGAAGAATATTGATCAAAGAGGAGAAGTCGATTCGGAAAATTCGTGTTAAAGTGCGAAACATGGGAAAAGGCAATTTCGTTTTTCTCTACTGTTCGGATAACGAAATGTCACATCCTATCGTCGTGGGAGGCACAAATCGCTGAAGCGAAACTTTCCAAAACTACCAGTTGCTTCTTTATCGAATTGTTCCGAGTGAGTAACCCTCTCTTACTCGCTGGACACATTTGTGTGTCCTTTTTATTTAAACTCAGGGATATGAAGGGAAAAAAACAAAAGCTAACGGTCCCAAAATTTATCTCCAATTTTCTTTGGTCAAAATTGAAAAGAAAATATTGATCGAATGAAAAAGAGTAATAATAAATATAAAATATTATTTAAAATAATTCTTAATTACAAAAACACAAAGCAATTCACTTAATTCACCCGTTAAGAAAAATTTAACGAGAATTATATATAAATAAGAACAACAACGTGCAACTTGATCCAAAGTTGCCAAAATTACTTACTCTATGAGTGATAGGAAAACTATTCAAATTGATTATCATAAAATATTATTAAAAGATTGTTACTCTTGAAGAAAATAAAATATATATATATATATTTCTTTCCTGGGAAAATAATCCTTTATTTTTTGCAAAATCGAGAAAACTAGAGAAAATTAGATGAGAAGAAAAAAGAGAAAAAGGAAAACATCTTGGCTGCTTTTTTCGAGGTTGTTACGTAGCTACATCCCTCGGAACGATGTACTTTCTTTCTTTCTTTCTTTCGACGAAATGCCTCAAACTTTTACGAACGTAGAAAGACGTTTCCCACGAAAACTTGAAGAAGAAAAAATAAAAGTTAGCCAAGAAGGAAGTTCAAAGAAGAGAGGTACGTTGACTCTTCTTTTTACAGAAGAAAATTTGAGTTAATCACGTCGGGTAAACCCTAACATTACCCACGGTCGACTTGAAAATGTAATTCTTTTTACGTTTTGCTTGGTCCACGAAATTTCTCAGAATTTTAAGAGAAACTTCTTTTATTTTCTCCTTTTTTGGTTTTTTTTTTTCCATTTTCCATCTTACAATTTTAATCTATGTTTTCTTTTGTCCAGTAAAAAAAAAGAAAAGCAGAAAAAGACGCTTCGTATAAAAGTAAAATTTGTATAGAAAATAAAATGAACAACAAATTAGGAAAATTTGATTATTAATTTTGAAAAAATATCGTTTCATTTCGTTCACAAAAAAATGATACAATTTATTTATTTTCGTTTTTCCGAAGGAGTTGCATTTGAGAAGCGTTGCATTTGAAACGTTACTCAACTCGCTAGAATTTAATTGAATAAGTTTCGAATCCCGAATACGAGACGAGGAAAAAAAAGGGGTTGAAAGAAAGAGATGGACAAGAAAAAAACACCAATGGCTTTTGTTTCCTTTTTTTTTCCCCTTTACTCTTTCTTTCATTATTTCTTATCCTCTTCTCATCCGTAACAAGATCGTCCTTTTTTAAGGATGCATTCGTAGCAATGCACAGACAACTGGAATCGATTAACCCTGACACGTTTCTTTCCCTATTCCTATCTCTAATTCTACACGCCCTTATTCCAACTTTGACTCGCCGCGAGGTACATCCAAATCGAATTACAGTTACGGACGACGTAGAAATTGACGGATGAGAAAATTCGTCCGACTTTTCTTTCCCCGACGAGTCCTTTTGTTCTGTTTTTTCTTTTTCCCCCCCCCCCCAATTTTTTCTCTAGATTCGATATATTTTCAATTGTATTAAAGATAAAATAAAAAAAAAGGAAAATTTGTTGTATTGCCAATCAGCCCTTTTCAAAAATATTAGATTGGTGCTTGAAAAGTTTTCAAGCATCGAGTATTTCAATTGGAATTTAATATAATATAAAATTCATAGAAAGAAAAAAAAAAATAAAGAATTCCCCGATGAATTTACACGTATATCATAATAATGAAAAATATCGAAAATAAATCAAAAACCGTAATTATTTTTCATTATAAAATATAATAAACTTTTCGGTATCACACATATTTTTCTTATCTCAGGGTTGAAGCAGACAATATTTTTCAAATATTCAATTATTTTTGTATTATCGAATTTTTTGTTAAATTAAATATTCGCGATATCTTTTTCATTTTTTTTTATTTTTCCAAATTATTTTTCTCCGTTAAAATTATTTTCGTGCTATTATTCGTCGAGAAGAAGAAAAAAAAGAAAAAAAAAAAGACAAGAAAAACAGGAAAATAAAAAGAAAAAAGAAACCTCCCATCGTAAATCGTATTACTTTCGGTTGAAAAAAGTTTCTTCCAAGAAGATGCCGAATCTTCGACGGTCCAGGCAGGATTTTTCTACCGTGAAGGATTCATTTACGTTACGATACAGCGAGTCGTCCCTGGAGAGAACACCGAAGAGAACCTGTCGATTTTCTTCTCTCTCACTCCCTCCACTCTTTCTCTTTTTTTCTTTTTTTTTTAACCCCTCTCTCGTTCCCCTTTAGTTTACCCTATTCTTTTTCCAACCATTCATTTCAAGCTCGGAAGACCATCAGCTTCGATTTATCGGTGATCGTAGTAAATTAAAACTTGTATTCCCATTTCTTTTGAATGTTCTCTTCTTGTCAATTTCTTTCTCTCTTTCTCTCTCTCTCTCTCTCTCTCTCTCTCTCTTTCTCTTTGTGTCCAACTTGACAAAATTTCATACGAATTTAAATCGACATCAAAGTTATCTATCGAAAAGAAAAGTAAAGAAAACAATAGAAAAATAACATATTCAATATTCGGGACACTGTCAATCCGTAGAAAAAAATAATTAAAAGATATCAAAAAGATTCGGAACATGTGACACATTATCACACATAGATTGATTTCAAATATTCATGAACAAAGATAACAAGTTGACAATAATTTTTGTTCGATTATGCTGTCACTTAGAAACATTAGATAATTTTTTCAAAATATCTATCTCTGTCCTTCTTTTTCACTCGTATATACATAGACACACACACACACACATATACATATGTAAATATATCTTTGACAGGTTCCCCGAGAAGAGAGTATATTTTTTTTTTCTCTTTTACAACGCGATTGAGTTAATCGATAATTTAATCTTCGAGGAAGATAAAAGACACTCTTTCTCTCACAACACGCACACACACACACACA